GTTTTGTACCACTTGAGTTGACCGAACACAACTTAGGTCAACGTATGAACACGTGCCTTGCACTGCTTTCCCACCGGCAGCAAAAAGGACTTCTTGTGGAAAATTACGTGGGTGATATAAAGTATATTTTTTACAAGAATTCAAACGAAAAAGGCGTATCTAAATCCCGGGCAACCCAGTACATAGACGCCGAAAGAGGACTTCCACTTGAAGAAGGCTCTCCTGTGTATCTGGTGGGACATGAAAGTCGCATTATATTACGGACTCCTGCAAACTGGTTGTCAGGCGGTGACTGCGGAACGCTACAGCCGACAGCCGAATAAATTGAGTGAAGAATTCGATCAGAACAGGCAATTTAGTGGGCATGGAAGAAGACAAGTCAAACAGCTGCATAATAACGCTTGACTTCACGTTCTACTCAAGACTCAGAATATTCTCTTGAACTTGAGATGGGAGTTCTCCCACATGCAGCATATTCACCGGACTTGGCCCCATCCGACTACCATTTATTCCGATCAATGCAACCCCCCCTTAGTGGATAAACAGTTCAAATCGCTAGACGATGTGCGTAAATTCTTCGATGAATGTATTGCCTCGAAGCTTGCAAGCTTCCATCCCGACGGTATTCGTGTTACCTGAGAGATGGCACAAGGTTACCGAAATCAATGGACAATATTTCCAAGATTAAGTTCGTTGTTCTCCATTTGTTATACAAAATAAATTTGCTGAAAAGTCCATAAAAATTAAGTCATGCACCTAATACAAAAGAATGAGAAATGTGAAATAACAAAAAAGAAGGCTGTGGGTGATTGTGGCACAGGCATCTATGTCTCGTGCATTTTTGAAGTAGCATATTGAGGTAAGAGGAGATGCATGGTTTGAAATGGATTGTTGTCATCCCATTCTCAGTTCTTAGGCCTAGAATTTATAGAGAAAGACTGCTACTAAGACATTACAATGTCAACAAAAATCACAATGCTTATCTGCATCGCTGTGATTGTCAGCGGTTATGGGTGAGTTAAGCTTGTTAACAGACCTGGAGTCAATGACTCATCCCTACTTTTTATTGGCCGTAGTTATCAGTCTCTTGTTACGCGCGAGCACTCATTCCCACATAAAGACGCTTGGCTGGCATGACGCTCGTAAATATTCGTGTCCATTGTCGCCTCTCGCGTCTCCTTACCTAGTTGGGTTGTAAGGTAGGGCAAACAACACTAAAAGTTCGGCCTCTTTTCATGGGGACATTTGAAAAAAACTTTTAACAGCCAATAAAAGTCAATTTGCCCACACAATGTTTCATTGTAAAGTCATCCAGAACCAAGTGAAGTTATAGCATTTGTTATGCTAACTTCGTATAACACTTCGTTTTACTATACCGCCTTCTTGGGACTAGTATTTGAATCTAGCTAGTGGTGAGCAGTCGTGTATCGTGTATATATTCACTGTTTACTCAGTTTATCGCCGTAATCTTTTGTTGTTTGGGGTAAGACGCGCATGTTGTCGAATGTTTCGGGCTGTTCTTGGTCTTCTTAGGCCAGTTTAACCATTACTGTTGAAGCCGTGATTGTAACTAACTAATGTTTACAACAGTTTAGTTTTTAAAACGGGTATGACAGAGAAAAGACGATTCAGATTGTTGGACAGCGATAAATATTACGACTATAAGCTGAGTTACAGCAAATTCTTAAACTAGGTGCATTCTATAAATATGGAGGCTCAACACTATGGCTACTTAAGTGGTGTTCCACTTGAACACCACTGAACATGTTTCATCACCCAATTTTCCAACAGTTGGTCATCGCTTGCAGTTATAACTCGCATAGTTCCACCTTATAGCAATCGTGAAAAGGTTAAAGCTTGAAAAATTACAGCAAGAAACCCAAAACGAAGGTCCTCGTGAAAAACTTCTCTCAGGTCGCGCCTTCATTATCAGCTTCAACGAAGACGGGAATTAACAGTTTTAGGAGACTCATTGTCCCATCGAGCCTTTATGGGGCAGTTCGAGGCGATTGAAGGCAAAATCGATGATTGCTTAAGCCGATTAAAATACTTGGTTCAGATCCGCGAAGAAATGGCCCTAGGGTCAAATGAACCCTAAAGTATTTGATGAAGAAACAGGTATCAAAGTTGTGAAGGAAATGTTACAAAAGAGATTTAGACAAAAATCGGGGATAGCCACAGCCTTTTTGGACGAATTACCCGATGACCCTACTCTAAAATCCGATGACATAATGGGCTTGGTCAAGCTATGCCAACAGACGTAAGCACATGAAGTTATTCTCACAAAATTAGATTTATATAGAACTCTTGGGCAATCGTGAAGAAAATGTCAATTGTTTTCGAGTTCAAATGAGCCAAGGTAGATAGTACAATACAAAGACAAGGAGCATCACTTTGTCTTGATGAATTACTACGCTTCGTGAAATATCGGGTTGACATCGCCTTTCCATTTAGTGTTGGTTCTTAATTCCATAACCTAACGCGATTATCGTCAATCAGTTTTAGTATCCAAGTCATGAAACGAACGACACAGGAACACAGACTTGTTAAGTCCTAGCCATTCGTATCAAGGCAGTTGTTGGGTAATCCCTTGCTGTCAGAAATACGGTATAAGTGACTACTAAAAAGTGCCTGGTTTTATACTTCAGTGACGAAATAATAAAGTGATTTGTGGTTCGGGAATGATAGCTGTGATAACATTATTTAAAGCCCAGAACTCAAGGTTGAGTCATACTTGCGCAACCGACAATTGTAGAGCGCCTCATCATACGTTATTGCACAATTTTGATTTTGACGGTCGTAGTGGACTATAACTTGTGCACAATCATGTGACTGAAGGCCACGAGGTATTCCCGGCAACAGTCCCGTGTCGTATTCTGTCTGCATGAGCTCTGGCATTGCTAAGTTATGGCTTCGACTCCAAGTTCATTAGGTAAAGTTTGGTGACGGAGCATGGAATGAAAGGAAGGAAAAAGGATGCTACCTTAACGACTTGAAATGAGGAAACTGCAATGCGTTCCGAAGAAGTCGAGTCTAACCTAGAATCAGAAACTACAGAGAATTCATTACGCATTAGGAGAGCTTACCTGGCTTGTTCATTACCGAAGGCAACTATGGTAAGTTCCGATAACAAGCTGATATCAAGATGGCCAAATTACGACGATATCAAATTAAAATCTTGGATGAATGGACAGTTGCATCTCTAAATAGAGTAAAAGGTACCAGAAATCCCTTCAATTGATATTTAACGATGGGGGGACTAACGAGCTTTTTGCATTTCGAACTACATTGGAGTGGATATTGATGGGACCCTTGTCTGCGGATCCAAGAATGAGCAAAGGCCATTGCTACACGGAAGCTGATGAGTTGCAAAACGATTTAGATAGGTTCTGTCGAAAGGATTTACTCGATGAAGACCAACCAAAGACAACGATTTTTAGGAAATTACTCACAATGCCTTAAAGATTACGCAAGTTTCTTCTGGTCCTTAATATGGATAATTCATGTTGTCTCTAGTTTGGAGAACGCAACTTGGAGCTCTACCGAATGACAAATTAAGTGCTTTACAACGTAGGTACAAAGCGACTAAAATAATGTTTTTAAAATAAGGCCCTATCAAATCCAACTGAAATAAGAACATCAAACCATATGACCATACTTACCAGCTACAAGAAATGAGCTGTTCCACGATTTTATTACAAAAATTGGGAGTAAAAATTTACCTTGACTTCGTGTTGAGAATAACACATGGTATCTGTTGCCTAAAAAATCAAACACTAAGAATTTTCTCTCCTGGATAAAATACGCCTAAAAGCTACCACATTTATGTATACTGTTGCTGAAATCATAAGCTATTTAGGCATTAATTAATCAGACAATTCACCAAAAATAAACATTGTATGCAAGAGTGGCTTCCAGAATGTTTGCATAAATTTTTTTTATCGACCATTATTAAATGAAGGCTTTTTTTATAAGCCCTATCATTATTTATAACTGGCTGCATCTTTCAATGTTTAGCAGAAGGCTACCATATAAACAATAAGGGGTCGAAGGGATGTACACATTAAAACTTCATTGTATTGATTTTTGAAGTGTCATTAATATCCACTCAAAATCACTCTCATTACCGTTGAAAGAAACACATGGAAAAAAATATCAAATTTTAAATCAAAAAGTACTTTCAAATGTTTGGGAAAAACAGTAATCCACAAACAATGTTAAGTATAAGCTATAAGTCGAATTTATTTCGCATAAAAGGACCTATATGAATACACATCATAAAGGTGATAACGATTCATTTTTGCGGATGGTAATAACTATCCTATGCAGCAAATTTATAATACACATACATCTTTTTTTTCATTTCTTTCAAAGAACAGATATCAATTGGAACAAAATATTTATATCTATGTAACTCAATGCTCAAAGTCAATGTTTTTAGGTGACTTGAATAGATGAATTCATCTAATTTTCTAATAGCTTTTAGTATATTTATAATATCTGCAAATTGTTTATAAGTTCTACCTTTCACATTTAGTGATGGAAATTAGAACTAATGTGTTGTGGACTAATTACCTTCGCCTTAAATTCTACTTAATGCAATCAACATTGTTTCGTAGTTAAAATTCAAAAACTCAGTAAATTGTTGCCGGTGTCAACCATGCCAGCCACAAGCATCTATATTTAGAAATGATTCGTTTTGTCACATCGCTTTTCTTTTGCATAGTTCGAAATGCTTCGCCTTATCAATGCGGCAAGTAGGATACGGAGCAGGGTCGTCGTATTAGACCCAATTTTACGCTCACATAGCATAAATATACCTAAAATTGGTGTTGTTCCCAAGAAAACTTCGTTGCTGGAATCACATGTAGTCATTCAAACTTCCAGGAACTCGAGTGGCCATACAATGCGTGTGAGACAGACCGCGTTTACAAACGAAAAGGCATATGACGAGCTGGTAAATACAAGTTTACTTTACTTTCGTCAAGCATTTCTTTTTTATGTGTGGTCTAGTGCCCTGCGTTTTGGTCGCCTTTCTGGTCAATGTCATTATCGGTCAGGCAGAATTGGTTGAAACTCCCGACAATTACGAACCTCATTATTGGGAGTATTACAAGGTAGGAAATATGTTTTGCTCACATCTTAAAAGCATCCTATCACCCGCTTCCTTTCTCGTAACTTCATGTGGAATCCTCAACAAGTCTATGAAAACCATCTTGCTCAAATAAAACGTCAAATGGATGCCAAGGAACTCGTGTAAGCATTCATGAAATCACTATTACTGCTTTTTCTTTAGAACTTCCTGTGTTATACCTTATCTGTTGCCGAATTGCATAAGCGTGTACTCCGTATTGTTGACCATCCGGTCTATGCGTCTGGTTGATATCTACAATGCCCTTTAAATTACATACATTTTTTTAATAAAAAAAGTGACTATAAACAGTCAACTGGAATCGTAAACGAATGTTAGGTTGTTAAAGTGGAGTGTATAATATTGTTATACATATGCTAGGGGTTGTCCATCCACAATATTCGCGTTAGGAGATATGAAATCCCCTTGCCTTCCAAAGTTATCAGGAAATATGATAGGTTTCTGACCTTTTGCCAGAATAGCGCCACATCCAGTATTATTTCTAAATGCTTATTGTTTTGCTAGTGTAGCCAATGTCAGGATTGTCTATTTAATTTTTAGACTTGAGGAAAGGTGGTTCCAGGATTCTGAACTGGCCCACCAAGACTATCGTGGCTGGCAGTTCATCCCGGTAAACCCAGCAGGTGTACTTCGCGCCCATAAAGAAGAGCTTATCAATGAAGAGATGGGTGATTGGGTCTCGCGATAATTACTTGCTCTGTTGCCGCTTCTTCCGGCTTATTCATCCACATTATTCCCTATAAAATAGTATGAATTATCGGCCCATACATATTACCGTCCCAAAATCGGTTGACAGTAATTTTTTTAGAATGATACATTTAGCTGTAGCATACCTATGTGTCGCTGATGTCCGAATTCGGTTTGTTTTCGCCTGCTCTGCACACATGAAGACACGCATATCTAAAGCCGATGAATTTACGCGTCTTCTTCGAAAAGATAACAAAGCACAGTGTAAAGCACACTCGAACGAGTGTCTGGATTTCAGCAGTTGAGGTAACGACTTCATGCATGAGGCGTGCTCTGGAAATGAGCGCCAATGTCGAAGTTTTCATCAAGGTCAAGTGGAAGTAATGGGATGAAATCACGAATGCAACACAAAGATTTGGCGGAGTTGGTGTCCGGTTAGGTGTCAGACAGAAGGA